GCACTGCAGTTCTCAGACTCCAAGGGACAGAAGCAGTAAAACAGGCACTGTCATGGGATAGTGTGGATGGCAGGGACAGCCAACTCCCCTGCAAGAGCCACAGTCAGGGCCACGATCCATCAAAGTCGGAGCTGTACAAACATGTGGTGGTGGTGGTGCTGTCCAGGTGCTCAAGCTTTTATGATTTAAGGCAAAATGCACAAGACAGAAAAGCAATACCAGCCAGGATGACACACACAGCTCCAAAACGAGCTTAACTGTTCTCAAGATATTTCTTTTAGACCTCACGTAGCAAGTTCTTTCAATACTGTCTAGAAGCCTGTACTTGGTACCTTCACAAGAACTTACCAGCACTTCTTCAAAGCACATCGTTAGCTTTCTACTTCACATGGAAATCTAAGAATTTAGGCCCAGAAAGGACTACCAAAAACTGGTATTTTAATCCAGAAAAAGAAATTCCTTCTGCCAACCAAAAGCCAAAAACATGCATCATTGAGCAACCATTCTGCATGATCCCCGCTTCGCAAGGAAAATCTGCAAGGGACACTAAATATGATCAGCAAGAGGAAAAGTCAGCATCAGTCCTGGAACTCCAAAGTTTTTAATTCCCAGTCTCATGTTTAACACTGTATAAACACATCCTTTCAGGGGACAGGTAACTGGTTCCTTTAGGTTGATGACTACAGATGGCTATAATTTAAGAAGTAATCCAAAGTCTACTCCTCTGAAATCTTATCTGAAGTCCTGCAGGAAACACCAAAACCAACACATTTTCTATGATAAAACAAAAATACTATCTACCAAGAAAGTGTGAAGAAACTGGGTGTCTTTGGTCTACAAAGCAGAGGTCCCAGAGAAGCATACGCTAAGTCTTCCAGTATGAAGGAGGACTAGCCATCACTTGTCTTCCTCAGCCAATTTAAATAAAAAAATTAACTTCCATGAAAGATCATGGTGAACCAGAAAGTTTGGGTGCAACTTCGTTCTCAGGAAATTTTTGAAAATAAATTGAACACTAGGAACACTCAGTATCCTAAGTATCAGGCATAATACGTATAAAGTAAACTGAGAATTTCTCACTTCTCCAACATTGATCCTGTATAGGTCTTAAGGCCACTTCCGGGAAACAAAATATTACAGGAAAAAACATAACTTAATACCCAAGAATTTTGACCAGAAAATTAATAACTCAACCCAATTTCTTCTGAAAAAAATATTTAGGAAGTGTTGGTTCCAATGAAAAAAACTTGGCATGAAGAGAGTTGTCATTCCCTAGTATTCATATTAATTGCCATGTAAAATGATCAGGTGACTTATTTAAAAAAAAAAATATAACAAGCCCTGAACTTACATTGAGGTATCTTTCCATTGTTGCAAAAGAAACACAGCCTAACAAACTTGCTCCTGGACTACAGCTCTCCCTACCTGAACCCCTCGGGTTCCTAAGAGTTGATGAGTGATGATACTTGATAGCGATAAAGAGGAAATGGAGGAAATGGCTACCCCTGCTACTGCTGAAGTAGCAATTCCAACATCCCATAGTATAGATGAAACTTAGAAACCATTTTGATAATGAAGATACTTTAAGATAACAAGATACTTTTTTTCCTCCTACAAGTTAAATCATGTTAAATGAAGAATATTCTGTAAAACTGAGCAGTTGGAGTGTGCTGGATTTACTTCCCAAATCCTCTGCAGGTTTAAAAGATGTAAAACTCCTTAGGGACCTATTTGTATTACCATTAAGACTAATAACTTGGCTTAACATATCAGTTCACAATGTGCTAACAATTCTTAAGCGTTGTACAACTATAGATTCAGTGTGTATCTTCCCCATATATGGCTATTTAAAAAAAAAAAGTTGTAAAAGATTTCACTGCTCCTGTCAAAAATAAAGAGCAAATCCATGAAAACAGACACCTCAAATACATTTAGCATATATCTTAAACTGGTGCTATTGTATTATTCTAGCCTAACCAAAAAGAATACAGTCCTATTGCAGCCTTCTTGTAGGTTGTGAATGCTCATAGAACCTCTTTACCTGGCATATCCTACTTCTCAAAGATCTTCCTCTGAAACACTGTAAATAAATACATCCTGAATTAGGAAGTTATCTCCTTACATTGCTGTACATCGTCTATCCTTAAGGATAGACACTCCTCCACTTGTAGGCCACACAACTCCATGACTATGACCTTGTTCCTAAAACGCAATCCCAGAAGAGATGCTCTACAGTTTAGTTGGACAGTTGGATGATACTGGAATGCAGCATATTATTTAAATATTAGCTTTCTCCATAAAGAAACATTGAAGGAAGTGCAAAGAGGAACAACTGCAGATATTAAACACACAAGGTGAACAAACTTCCCCATCCTGAAAGTATGGAGGTAAAGAAATAAAAGCCAGACAACTTCTACAGAATTTTATTAAAGCAACAGGTTATCACCTTTATTTTTACTCATCCTTTTCAGCAGTAGTTCTTTTCCTTTCACTTCAAGATCATCTCAGAATCACAATTCACCTGGACACAAACATTCCCTCTTTCCTCTTCCACCAATAACCTTTCAGTTTCCACCCCCAATATCAAATTAGGAAATAGTCCCCTCTGCAACTTTAGTGCGTTGGTTTTAGTGCTTCACAAGATACTATTAGATTTATGAGAAAGTAAGTTGTATTAGCAGAAATTTCCATGTTGAGCTGACCTCAAGCTAAATTAAATCTTAAGGTCTATTTTTGTCCCTGCTAAAGTAACCAAAATTTTACCAAATGAACCTAGAACTTTAAGCAAGTTAACTTCACATAATCATATACATCCAGAAAGTAAGTATCCATAACATGCTTTACTTGCCTAAACTCCCTTTGTAGTCAGTGAAGTGTATCTGAATTAGGGACCATTCTCTGTGGTTACTTTGTGTTAAAAAAATAACAAGAAAATGAAAAACTATTTTATCCAAAAAGCCAAGCATCTGGAAAATCTGTTTGCTTGCACAGGCTTGGCAAAGACTTCCTCAAATTTGAGAACATAGCTTGATGGATTTCATCTCTTAAAAATCTTCACCCACTAGCCTGGAGGGGCTTATTGGACTGCACATTTGTTACTCTGCGTCCAGAGCTGTAAGGGATTAAGAGGACTTTACTACAGAAGCATGTTCAATGAAGAAACAATTTTCAACCTCAGCAACACACAGGCCCTCGAACTCAGGTGTCGAGCTCCGGGTTCAGATCCCAGTTCCCTTTGTCAATTTACCTCTGATAAACAGCTAGCCAAAGAAAAGACTAAATCCTACTAGACTGCCAGCACCACCATTCCTCTAGAATGTAGCTGCAAACATTATAAAAATAGGAATATCACAACTATTTTATCCAAATCTCTTAAAAGACACAGCTTCTTAAGACAGGCAAAAGTGTGCTTCTGTATACAAGAGAGCCAGATACTCAAATGAGTTAAATTCAACTGACAATTAAAATTTTTCAATAGTGTTTCAACTCCATTTTAAAAGGAATATTCTTACAAATTATTCCTATTCTCAGTGTTTAGAAACCTCTAGTAATTTAATGAAATCAGACCTGCAACTAAGGCTCTTATCTACAGGAGTACTTCCTTAATTTCAACTATATTCGAAAACATCTAAAAATAAAATGGTAACATTCATACATTTGCATAAGGAACTCCCTTCTATTTGTAATACTAACTTGGCATTAACTAAAATGTTAAAAGCTACTGTGTATAACTCCTTTACTGAGATACTCAGGCAAGAACTGAACACAAGTTCAGCACAAGGATACATTTCTTGTTTTTAGCCAGACTTGGAACAGGTTATTCCATTGAAGTACACCTGAAAAGGCTACTACAGGAACCTCTTGAAAATCCAAGTCACCCACGTCCAGCTACTAGAAAGCTGTAACAGGGAAAAAACAAAACACCACTTCAGCCTTAATGAGAACTGCAAGAAGCACACCTGATCCCAGCACCTTGGTAAGATGCCTGCCTCTATGCTTCCTGACTGACCAGGGATGTCAAAAAAGGGGTTACAAACTAATGAAAATTCAAGCCTAAGACCCTGAGAAGTAAACAGACATGCATTCCTGTGCCTCAGTCTACAGGTACCCAGCCCCATATACTCACATTTATGTCCTCCATATCAGCACAACAGAGCAATTCCTATGACTCCTTAGAGCTGCTCCACAGAAAGTGTAAGACAAAACTTGCAAGACAGGGAAAAGAAAGTAATCTTGAATTCCAGTCCCAATCTCACCTTGTCGAAAGCAAAAAAATTGACAGAAAACACAAGTTCCATACATCATCCAACGACCAGGGAAACCAAGGCACTGGGGGCAAGTCGGAGTTCAACATTTCCTCGTCTGAGTAGTGAGATCTCAACGACTCAGCTACTTTGACTACTGAGAACAACAGATTCAGATCCAGAAGTACATGACAATACTTCTCATGAGAAACGAATTCCACCCACAATTTGCTTCAGAATTGGGAGGGGGACAGACACAACACCCAAAACACATCTCGTGTCAATTAAGTTCCCTGAGCAAATTCAGACAGCATTTTAAAAATTCCTGCAACATCTCAGAAGATTTGGGTAACGGTTAAGACTGTTCTCCTCACTTATTTCAGTAGAGGGAGCCAAATTTTCATCACAGATGCAGCAGCACTTGAGACTTCCCCTAACAAGTTACTCAGAATCTCTGCCTAAGTACAGGCCTAAGCACTGTACTTACTGACTACCAAGGTAGTCATCACCTGTCAGCATTTCTGCAGCTGAGAAGCTGTGCTAAGCTCCGTAAGTTGGCAATCTCTGAGGTAGGAACACAGAACAGAAGCACCCTAGAATAGGAATGGCAGGGATCACCGTTATCTTTTAAGCAACTCTTGTCAGCTTAACACACTAAACAAGAACACCAAAACCTGCACAGCATTTTCATCTCCTGATGTTATCCTTTGCAACTCAATGAACTGTTTTGCAGGTACCCACCCATTAATCACACACACACAAGTCAGGTTCAAAATTTATTTTCCGTTCATTTCTTGCACTTGAAGTACTCTTCGATGACATCTTTGGCCTGAGACTCCTTGCCATAGTCCTGCAACACACAATAACCTATTAGTAACATACAGACCCATTCGAAATTTTACAACCTATTTGCAAAAGGACAACTGAGATTCTGACACTTTTGCCTCAAGGCGATCTTAAATATTCCCAAAATTCCATACAAGTAACCTCGAGCAATCTGCCAGCTGCTTTCCCTTCATTCTCTAGTAAAAGGCTATTCTAATAAAGGACTCTCCTGTTTCATTCAAGCATAACGCCCATTGGTATGGATTCCAAACCAATT